AAAAAAAAACTAAATGATTATAATACAATGTAACCTTTCAAATGATCATATAGATCAATATATAGATAGCATGAAAACAAACTACTACATTTTTTTAAATTCTATGATCCTTGGGAAAGGGGTGATGGCTCAATAGAATAAGCACTTGCCTGGCAAGTGCAAGGGACTGAGTTCAATCCCCAGTTCCGCAAAAATAAATAAATAAATAAATTCTATGATCCTTGTTTGCAATGAATACATAAAACCTTATAGCCACAGAAAATCAGAATGGATAGACACCCAGATGTTAAACCACAATATTTCTTAGTGCTGCAATTACAAGTGCTGTTTATTTTCCTGCTATCTTTTTAGCATTCCCTTTAATTTTCACCAGAATAGTATTTGCAAAAATTAACATGTACGACTTCCAACTAATTAACTCAAACTTTTTGCAAGGTGCCTTCCAAAAAAAACCTAAGAAATATCCAAACTGGCATAGAATGAAAAGGAAAGCGTTAACAATAACGTAACTAAAAAATAAATTAATTAACTAGAATTCCTTGGGAACAAGGCAAACTGGAGGGCTCCAGGACTGTCATGGAAAAGTTTTGAAATCACAAAACCTGTGTTCAAATCTCTGCCACTTCTATTTGTATGACCCTGGATTAGTCACTTAACCTTTTCATGTTAACTTTATCTATAAAAGGGGATTATTACGCTGCTTTACTTTTCTAGTTGAAAGAACTGCTGGAGAGATCAAATGAGATAACATGATATAAGATATTACTACTCACTTAAATAAAATGAGGCTTAACAGAGAGCTAACTACTGAACAAAACACTACAAACAATTCGAAGTAGTAAACCAGGGTTTTTGTTTCGTTTTTAAAGGCTACATTTCATCATGAATATTCAGTTTTTCTGAAATTTAGATATTTCTTCCCCATCCCCACTATAACCACAAGCCTTTTCATCTTCTTATTCCTAGTTACCAGCAAGGAAGGGCACAAACTACGCTGAACTCAAATGCCTCAGGGAGAAGCCTAGAGTAGCACCTCGCTGGGTGCACCAGGAGAAATGCAAGGTTAATCAGCTCTGGACTGGACACTAAGCACTACTGCAATCAACAGGGATTATAAGACACTCTTTGAAGAGAAAGACAATGAAGCTGCCCAGAAAAAAACCACAGAGGAAAAGGCAGTATTTCAAAACAATTCCATGAAATACTTAAAAACTCAAGTGCTTTATAAATTGTTTTTAAATACTGTTCACAAAATTAGTGACATAAAACAAGATATCTAAATATGGTACTTGGCAAAAGCAAGTTACGGAGATTAAAATCAAAACCATGAATAAATTGTCAGACGTACATGCCTCAATGTGAAATAAAAGCAGACAAATTACACCACAAAAATAAAAATTAAGTGGCTATTCTTGAAAATAAAGAAACAGTATGACAACAGAATTTACTGACAAGCTTATATAGCACTTTTAAAAGGATGGTTTCTCTTCCACTTCAATTCTATTATTTACTCCATTAAATGATGAACTTCCCTCCCATAGTTCTCTTGAATTAAAACTACAATTTAACTTGGTTTGAGTTTTGGTTGTTTTTATGGAACTGAGGAGTGAATCTCAGCACTGTACCACTGAGACACATCCCTGGCCCTATATTTTCTCTAAACCCCTAAATTGCCCCGGCTGGGCTCCAACATGTGGGCCATCTGCCTCAGTCTCCCCAAAGGCTGGGATAACAGGTATGCACCCCAACCCCTGCCTTGCGTGGTTTGCGTTTTAATACATAAAAATTTCTAAGAAAAAAGTCTTTTACAAAGCGCTACATGACACCTTCACAGGTGAATACCAAGATCATCTGACCATCATACCCTCCTGCTTTTAACTTTCTACACAGAAGAAAATATCGACCTTCCATACTCTCAGAAATGTCACTTATGGGTATTTCTTTAGTGAAAAAATATTTTTCATAAACAAATGTGCAAAGAGAAATCCTTTTAATAGGTATGACTCACAGTCTAACTTTTACTGGCAATATATTAAAAGTGTCGCAGCTTGTGCTATTGCTACTGGGGATACAGAATCGGATTTTCTATCTGATCTTTATAGAGTTGTAACAGCTTTAAAAACATTCACTGAAAGGGTCACTACAAAAATACTTTTAAAAAAACTTCCAAATAGAATACACAGCAAAATGAAGTAGGGGCTGTGAACTAGAATAAAGAAAGGCATTACGTTTACTCATAGTTTTCTAGCTGGAATTATATTTTCTTTCAAAGCTTCAAAAAAAAACCTAGGTTTTGTTTTATTTTTCCCACCTTAGAAGGATGTATGCTATTTAACTTCAAAAATTACAAACAGAATACCCTGAGAAAATATTTCCAACGAAGTATCTTCCAAATTTTACCAAAAACTATATATCCACACTTTTAAAACAACTATAGTTGGTGTTGCTGAAATCACCTTCCTACTAGAAAAAAACACTAAATGTAACCAAGCGAAGTATTAACAAATTCTTAACACTGCTATCACCAGCTATTTATCACAACTCCTCAGTCTCAAGCACACATGATGACATAACAACATGTCAAAACAGTTATTATAATTTGAACAATTATACAAGAATATAAAAGTGGAAAACAACTACTTTGGAAAAACAACTAGATTTTGGAGACTGCGAAAAAGGAAACCAATTGAAAGATAACACATCTCCGCACACTTAAGTATTTGGTACTTTTTCAATACTAGCTCATTTTTGTAAAGAAAAACTTTACCTAACAAGATTCACACCAGGGATCTCATCTATCCCAAAGGCACTTGCTTAAAATGAGAAAGAACAAAGAGGCAAATCTCCCAGCAGGCGCTTTCCATACTAGCTTCTTTGGACAGCATCAAGAGTGACAATATAGCCCCCACAAGCTTTTTAGCTTTACTCTATCGCCCATGTATAACAGAACTGATTAGCTATTATTCAAAAGGACTTCTAGAAAATAAATATTAGAAGACAAAGATCACAGCAACAGTGACTTCATTTTAAAACAGAAACTATAGAAAACGTATCCTAAAGTTGTGTACTTTCCATTTTAAAAGTTAATTATCAAAAAAAGTTAATTATCTCTAAATACTCAAATTCCTGAGGTTTTAATGCAGTCAATAGTTTAAAGCCGGAGGGAGGAAAAAGCACTGTCCTAAAGCCGTCTTAAATTTGAAGTAAAGCTGAAAGAAACTCAAAGCCAATACCTTAACAGACAAATTTTGGAATGTTAATCTTTCAGGGAGGCTTTTACACAGACAAACTCTCCAGAAACAAGTCTGGTGTTTGATGGTTCTAAAAGTTGCTTCATTGCAACAGAAAAAAAATAAAATAAGAAAGTAATTTTCGTTAATTTCAAAAATGTATGCATCTCCCCGAAAGATTTACAACTGCATGTCCCAATCTCCACAGTGACAGGAATGTCAGTTCTCTGGATTAGGATATAACCAGCTGCTCGGTTCACAGAGGAAGCCACCGAGAAGAGAATAACGCGTTCAGAGCCTTGAAATAATATGCGTTAGTTAAGAACTGCTTGCTACTAAACCAAAATTATTCAAGCGAGCCCAATTTGTCACAATCCAATCATAAGGGTTCCACCCCCCTCCCCCAACTGCTGGTGTAGTGGTGTATCTGCTTCGGTAAAGAAGCCATCATCAGGTAAAAGACCGGATGGGAGAAAAAGCGGGGGAAAGGGGGCAGCCTTTCATCTAATTTCGCGAGGCGTGAGTAATTGGTACAGTTGAGAGGAACGGAGCAACGTTCTATTTTACTGGAGGCTGGAGTAAGGCGAGGGGGTCTGAATTGCGTCCAAATCAACATGGCCAGCAAGATGTCCCCACAAACAAAAGGCAACAGGGGGATATAAACACGGACCGTTCACCTCCATCGGCTATAGCATCGCCATCATGGTGTGTGCAGAGACCCCCAAAGGCTCCTCTCACCCTCCACGCCAGCCAGCGCGAGAGGGCAGCGAGATTCCAGCTGCATCTCGCCGCCCACCCCTGCTTGCAAATACACACTCTTCGAGGGGGTTTCTTGGAAACCCCAGCGCTCGCGATCAGGGAGAGAGTAACATCCCGCTCGGGCAGACTCCCCCCGCGGCCCCGCCGCCAAGCCCCCGGGCTCGCTAAACTTTACCGGAGCTACTCCTCCGCCTCCCCTCCCCGGCGCCCCAGGATCGCGCTTCCCACGAGCGGGGCACCCCGGGCGCCTCCAGTGACAGGCAGGCAGCCGGGAGAGCCCGGTGCGGGGCGGGGGCGCCGGGGCTCGGCGGAGGGGCGGGGCGGCCGGAGCCAAGTTCCCGGGGGTCCGAGTCAGCGCCTGACAGGAGCCCCGGACGGCGGAGAGGAAGAGGAAGCGGCGGCGGGGCGCTCCCCATTCCCCTCCGAGTGCACCCTGCCCCCAGCCCCTGCGCCCCACGGGCGGGGGGGCGGGGAGGCGGGCAGGGAGGCGCGGGCGCCGGGCCTCGGGGACAGCCGAGCCCCGCTCGTCGACTGGCCCTCTCCTCCCCCGCCGCCCCCGCCGGCAGCGCCCACAACAATAACACGCCGGGGACGACCCGTCAGCGCCCCCGAAACACCGGGGCCCGCGGCCCGCCGCAGCCAGGCCCCCTCAGCGGGGGCCGGGCTCGCCTCTCCTCCCTGCGACTCCAGGCGCCGGGGCGGCGGAGCCCGAGCGGGACCCCGGGGTCCGACCCATCCCCCCCGGCACCAGCGGCGCCGTCTCCGCGGCCGAATATTAGAAGTGAATTCGAGCTGCGCTTTACCTTTAGTTCCGCACTGTCCGCCATCTTGCGTCTGTCAGCGCAGGCGCACTGATCCTCGCCGGGGGCTGCCGCTGAGCCCGCCCCTCCGGCCGGCCTGGGCCCGCCCCGGCCCGCCCC